TTTCTTTTTTCTCCAACCAGACAGACCAGAGCTGCAGAGATTGCATCATATGTTACATGATTTCCAGCTGGACCTGTGGCCATCAATTAAGTTAGAGAGAAAGGGTGGTTTCTGGTGGTTTTAAAGGTGCCGCTATTTTATCATTTGCAGAATTAATTACTGCAACTGTGTCTTCAAACAGCCACCTGATCGAAAGACTGCTGCAGTTGATCCAGAATGCTGCTGTCCGCATCCTCACTAAAACTAAGAAAATGGAGCACAGCTAGAACTCAGCTTTACTAAATGTTTTGAGACCATAACTTAAATTGGCCTCTGTGCCAGGAAACCACCTGATTTTATTAAAATGTTCAAACTGTACTGAAAAAGTGAAGTCTCAGGACACTTGAGCAATAGATATACACTGAAGTTGTTATGAAAACTATTACCAGCGTTCCTGCTTTTATTTACCACAATACTACCCGTGTAGAGTGTGAAAGAGAAGAGTCTTAATCGTATTCTAGGTTTCACTCATCTCACCTCCCAATCACAGATTGAGCTCATTTTCCTATTTTTAGAGTGTGAAGGGGAATAAATAGAAGGGGGTATGTTGGAAAGGGGCCGGGGGTGGGGGGTCAAAGTCACAGTTCACATAACCAGAGAAGTAAAAGCCTTCTAATCGCTCTGAGCATGTGTGTAACCTCATCCTCTAGATTCCTCTGCTGCCATCTCTGATCATTCATCCAGAGCTCCACTTTTTAGGTTTTGTTGTCATAGATCTTCTCTGCAGTGAACAGTTAGGCATCTTGTTTCCCTTTTGGTTCTCCATAACGTCCTGCACACCTCTCGATCTCACCCTCCTCTGTTGTTTAACTGCTATTATGATGCAACGTTTATTTTTCTCTATGAGCTGTTGACTATTATGAAGCTCTATGTTATATATACTCTGGTAGGTTTGGGTATCAATTCCAATCTCAACAATCAATTTAATTACGATTTTAAGAATTTAGAATCAAATTTTTTTGATCTGGTTTAATCTCAAATAGGATTGCTGGTATTAAAATAATTATGTTATCTGTTACCCGAATTACATAACTATAGTTATATAGCATACTGATGCTGTTATTATATCAATATTCAGCAGCAAATTAATAAAGTAATTGTAGTTATTGGTGTAGATAACAATAATAGAAAATGCATTTAAAACAATCATATTTAGTTATGTTTTTTGTCATAAATTGTTATATGAAATCAATTCAGCACTGTAGTATCATTTTTTTCTAGAACAATCTTATACTTTAGTGCTCTACCTTTCTTAATTATAATAGTTAAATAGTTTAAATAGTTTTAGTTTTGTAATAGTTTCATTAGATTTGAATCGGCAGTTGAAAATGGATAAATTGGTTAACTTAAAGATATAGCAAAAACGTATAAGTTATAGTGGAGGATTTTCACAAGTTTATTATAAGACCCGCCCTGTCCATTTCCTAAAAAAAATGCACACTCTTCGTGCACGCTCTGTTTAAAAGTTGCTGTTTGCATTGCTTATACAAGCTTAATTTCCAAAGGAAGATTTGCGATTTCTCCATTATTTTAGACTCACCACCTGTAAGTGAAAATGTGGATGAGCACATAGGGCGGCCTTATATAAACATATCACCAGAATGATTGACAATTAGGAGGACCACCTATTTTGATGATCCACCTGGAAAAAGAATATCCTCCACTATACCTTTAAGACTGTAAAAAACCAAGTTGCGCACATATTAAAAGAAGTCTTATAGTTAGTACTTGTCTTGGATCTTATAAGTACACCCCATGACATATCTGTGTATTGTCTGCTACTGTTTGCAGTGCATGTAAAAGTGTGGTGTGTTTGGAAAGGATGTAATGATCTAAAAGTCCGTGAGTGTAGCTCTTTTTACCCATTAAATAAAATGCAGAAAAACCAATCACCTTAACATTTGTAACCTTTATATTGTCTATCCCAAAAGGGGTTATCCTCTCATAAATGTTATGGTAAAACAAAAGCTGGATTTACTTATGTAGGCAGAGTACATACAGTGTACATAGTATTGTCTGGGATTTTAATTTTTTGATGTTTTGATTTACATACATGGAAAAAATTGGAGAGCAGGCAAGGTGGGAGTGGATGGATCACTTTAATTCAGCTAAAGATTTTTAACTTAACTTCAGTCACAGTAGGGTGATACATTTAATTTTTGGACTGTTTTTATTTTTGGTAGTGATAAAATAGTTTAAGAAAAATATTCTATGAATAATTTCTAAATTCTTGATGTGAAATAAGTTGAAGTTTAAAACACTTGCCTGCATTTTGCTGCTTAACACAACTGCTGCTCCTGTCTCAAAGTATAATAACTAGGTTTAAAAATAAAACCATTACCTTAATAACTATTATGGCTTCTGTTCTAACTTTCCTGTTAAGATATGTTATGTATAATTTAATACCAGTTGTCTCAATGGGTCTTTGTAGGTTTAGATGACTTTCTGTAGAGTCACATATTGTCTTTTTAACTGACAAATTTTACAATTGACATTTAACTTTGTTAAACCGGCTGTTTGCAGGATTTAAAATGATAAAACAAAAAACAACCTTATTGATCAAGCACTGACCTTGGTGATTCAGGGTATGTTAGATCCTTGGCCAGCTCCAAGAATCTTACCAGCAGCAGTAATAGAAAGCATGCCAGAAGAGTCATGTGGCAGCGCTATTAATAAGGCCTGTAGTGGTGCACAAACATTGCAATGCAAGGTGCTTTTCCCTAGCCCAGCAAAAGCTTTGATGTTGTTACTGTTAAAACTTTTATCAAACCCTTTGTCTGCATATCACAATGATTTCTTCTTTTTTTGTGAATTTGATAAATATGAAATGTTGTCAAATGTAAGAATTGTTTCTTTCTTTCTTTTTTTTTTTTTTTTTGACAGAACTCAATTCAAGCCAGACAATTTCAGAGGAGAGGCTGAACCTGGAAACCCAGGAGCTGGAGAAGCGGCTGAGCATGCTCTCTCATATGAGCAGCACAGGTACTAAAGGATCATAGGTTTCTCAGAATCAGAGGTGTCAAACTTCAGACCTCAAGGGCTGATGTCCTGCAACTTTTTGACCAAACCTACCAGAATCTGATGTCTGGATTACCTCCTAAACATTTTCAACCTATTTCTTTCATTCTTGTGTGTTAAAGCAGAGAAAAGTTTATTTTTTTAGGACACTGGCCCTGTAGGACTGGAGTTTGGCATCTGTGCTCTAATATGTCAAAGATGGAAACTTAAAAATATATATACTGGGTTGCTTTAACTTCTCTGCAAACTGAATGTGTGTTAATCTATGCAAAAACCTAACTTAGCAGATGTAACGTTCTTTCATGAATATTACTCCACCGTTAATGTGATTCCTGAGTAATCAAAAAAAGAGAAATAAAGACTTAATTGTGTTTTTATGCTTTAATTTGTCCAAGGAAATGCTAAATGAATCATAATTATTTCCTTGGCAGTCTCGTCCACGAACTTCCCATCTGTTGGGGGAGATGATCGCAGCATATCTGGCTCTTCAGACACTTCCGACACCAGCCAGTCAGACTGCAGCATCGGCAGCCGGCTGGCCATTTGGACTGAACCTCCCTCAAACTCTCCCGTAAGCGTGTGCCACATGGGCACTAAGGTGGCGCTGCAGGCTGTAGAAAAACATTCAGTAGTCCAGGGAGGCGGGGGTAGACTGTCAGCCAAGCCACCCAGGCAGCTTCATGAGATAGGCCGTCAGAGCTCTTCAGACAGCGGCATTGCAACCGGAAGCCATTCCTCCTACTCTGGGAGCTTCTCCTCGTACACAGGCAGCCTTGACATCACTCCAGCAGAGGATTTCGGCTCTGTGTTTAGTTTGCCACCCCACCTGGCTCGAGAACTGAGCCCTTGCATTTGTCCCACTGCTCCTGATCACGAGTACCAAGTGCCAACCACGCTTCTTTGGTATCTTTATGACTCTCCTAAAGGTGTGGCACATGAAGCGAGTGGAGGTGACAAAGATTCTGAGCCAGTAAAAGCCACCAAAGACTACCCAGTTCCTTCAGAGCATCCAACAGAGTTGAAAGGGGATACAAGTGGAGAAAAAGCAGCTGAGGTTCAATCAGAAACTACAGATAGACAATCTGTTGGGATACACAATCAGAGCCTTTTGAAGGATGGCAGAAAGACAAGTATGATGCCCTCTAGTGGCTCCTCTCATACCCACAGCTCGCTCACTGCCTCCAAATCTATTGTGGCAATCTGCTCAGCGTGTGGTGGATTCAAGGTAAGAGAAACTGTTTTTGTTCTTTTTCTTTGTACATTTTCTTCCAAACTCTCTTGTTTTGGGTTTTCCGGTGAATGTCAGTCAGCCACAACTTGTGTGTTTGAGTTATCAGCAGCATTTCATCTGCTCTTTGGATTACTGTAACACTGGCCTTTGAGGTTGTAAGAAGGCTGCTAGCAATGCCTCTCTGCATTCGGTTGCAGAACGGCTAACAAACCCACGGTCCATCTGTCTAGCAAGTCAGCATAGCAACCAGTTTAGTTTCACAATGTCATTGTTTCAAGCAGGTCTGCACTTTACACTGAGCTTACAGTGAGTCTGAGTTCTTTCTTCTTTTGTTGATTCATCTTTCATTTTGAGCACTGTAAGTGGATTTTTCAGTGAGATTTGTTAATGTTCTAATAATCTAGTTATCAAACTTCAGAGTTTTATGATTATGTTCCTACAAGAGACTGCAAGGATTATTTTCTCAGAATTATTATAATTTGGCTGTAAACACTATTGTGAATTCCAGTTATTGAAGTCTTTCGAATTGTCTTTTTCCTTTGTCAATGCAAGTGTTGTGGAAGTTTACTAGAAGATTATGAATGTATAAAAAAAAAAACTAGAACTGGAAGCTATAGCTAATTAATAGGTTGTTCAAAATCACTTAATGAATATTAGTTTAATGACTATAACAGTAATTTGTTTACTCACCAGAGTTCTTATATTTCTCTTGCAAAAAAAGTTTGGACTCCTGGGCCGGCTGTTTCAAATCCAGTTGCGTTCACCAATTTAGTAGACTACGGCTATCAAGAGAGTCATTAATCACCAACCAAAGAAATTTGACTCTGTTTGTTGAGATGTTACTAAAAGAAAAGTCAATATGGCCTGAATGATATATACTTGTTTTCTAACCCAAAATAAGATTTTCATTTGGTCCACTCTATAAAGCAGGCACACTGCCCTGCATGTTTTATGCTGCGTTCACACCGGACGCAGCAGGCGCGACAGAAGCAGCGAGTTTACATGCAAAGTCAATGGTTGACGCGCGCCAAGGTGCAGCAAAATGTCCCGCGGCGCGTTTAGGGCAGCAGGCGCAGCGCGTTTGTTGCAGCTGAAGCAGCGCGTCGGGTGCGTTTAAGCATCTGACGCGCGCGGCGCGCCGCAAACGCGCTGCTGCTTGAGATGGAAAAATTGAACTTTTGCTGCTCGACGTGCCGCGTCAACCAATCAGTGAAGCTGATCTGGGAGCTGGCCGTGAGACAGACACATCGCTGATGATACAGAGCGCTGTGATCACTCCTCTGAAACAGTTTATTGACACATAAACTAACTTAAAACGCAGAAACCTGCCGGCAGTATATGTTCGATTTTATTACTCTGATGCCTGCAGA